GGGAGAGGGGTTTTATGACCTCTAGGGAGTCACCTACACCCACAGTGTTTTAACTGTCACGCACACACATCCACAGGCACACTCACTCATGTGCACACAGTCACACACGAGCACTCATATAGGCACGCGGGAACGCGCACATGTAGGCATTCATGTGCTCGTGCACATAGACACAGACACAGAGTTTGCAGCACACCGTAGGGGGGGTTTATGATGGGGTCCTTCTATAAAACTGTGTTTCACAGACAAAGGAGTGAAGATTTTGGAGAGGGACACCAGCCTCGTCTTCCCTTCTAGAAGTGCATGCTTAAATGAAGAAGAGTAAAGATAAATGAAGATGAGTAAAGATGAATAAAGATTTTGTGAAAATGACTACTGAGTCCGGTGCCATCGTCGCTTAGTGCCTGAGCTCGGATCATACCAATATCAGGGGGGATTCACGCACAGTCGTAAATTCCCACAGTGTGCACTATGTGCTTCGAATATTGTGTGTACTTTTTGTTTTATACAGTTGTCAGCCAGGCATCTAACTATGAAAAAATTACACTCCAAAAGACCCCGGGCTTCTGACAAAACAACCCGGGCTTAAGCCCAGTAAGCCACCCCCACGCTCCGCCCCTGGTGCACACTGTGGGAATTTACGACTGTGCGTGAATCCCCCCTGATATTGGTATGATCCGAGCTCAGGCACTAAGCGACTGAGCGAGGGGGCGGGGCAGCTGCTACCTGTCAGTGCGCTGTTGGAGAAACAGAGCCAGCCATACTAAGGAGAGCTTAAGTTTGACCAGGTACCAAAGAAAATCATTCGTACTGTACAAATAATGTAAATATGACGGTGCATCACGAAAGATTGATATCAAACTGATCACTTGACCAATATTACGTTACTTGCTCTTCAAGTGAATCAACAAATGGCGAAATGAAAAGCCGAACAAATGCTATTTTTTTTAGAGAGTCTTAGCTTACGTGTGTTTATTTCATATTTTCAGACTAAATCGGTTTCAGTTATGTACTGAAATATAAGAATGGATGTCAGAAGTAAACAGTTATCAAACACTCAGGTGAAGAAATGACACTCAGACACTTAGAGCAGTTTTAACGTGCACGGGTGAGAGCTCAAGAGAGACTCACACCCCCTGCAGCAGTTCTCTGCTTTGTGTTCCCATACAAGGTCGTTTCTTGGGTGGCGATTTCCTGTAGCTTGACAGATAATATGAAGGCAAACAGTTTCCGTTGTAGAGCAGAGAGCCAGCAATTAAAAAGTGCAGCTGGTTGAGTACAAGTTGAGTACAAACAGAAATATAAACACTCTTAGCTGATTATTATATAAAAGTAAAAGTAAAAATCCTCTGACAATGGACATTAGAGTGTTCTTTCAAAGAGAAAACTCAGGTAAATGTTATTTTATATATTATGCTTTGTATGTTGTTCAGTATATTTGTATGCAAAATAAGAGGGATTTCAGTACACAGCAGGATATTCACATTTGTAACCAGATATTTACACTTTAGGGAGAAAACATAAAACATTTTTACTGTACAACAACAATTTAGAGTAAACTGTTTGTTTTAGATAAATATTGAAATATATTTTGAATTAGTTAAATGTCAAAATAAAGAGAGACAGAGCTGTCTATTTTTATCACTTTGATCAAATGTAGGAGTACATGTACACTAAGTTTATTGTTAATTAATAAGAAACTCCAGACGATTCCATTCTGAGCTGAAGAAGCTTCTGATAGGTTAGTAGAGTCCATGTGAGTAAATTGGTGGCACAGCTGTGGATGCATATAAGGCAAAACACAGAGCCTGTTTCTGTGACATGGGAACATCAAGAGATGTCAACCAAAACACCAGGAAAAGAACTGTGGAGCTCCACAAGTGTGGCTCAGTTTGAATACAATTTGGTGCCATTTACAATTAAGAAATACAGATAGTTTCTCTCTTTACTCTTAAAGTTAACAAATATGTTTTTTTTATTTATCAATCTAAAAAAAATAAACATTTAGTCTGATTTGATGTTACAATTAAAAAAGTGTTTGTGTTTTGATCTGAAGAGTGTGTAAATATCTGGTTTCAACTGTATATTTGATGATTGTCAGCACAAAGAGAGAGAGAGAGAGGAACAGAGAGGGAGATGGAGAATGAGGACAGAACAGAGGTGGAACAAGAGCAGGTGAGACACACATGTTAGTCAAATGGTTGTTTAGCAAAAGTATCACCGTCCTCATGTATCTCGTACCTAGTGTTTCTTTTTAGGTTTGTTATTTTTCAAATTCTATATTTATTAAGTTCTGCAGGCTTGTTTGCACAACAAGGCTAAATAATTATATAAACCTTTCTCAATCTAAATAGTGGACTTTAGTAGAATTAAAAAAATAAGTGTAGTGCAGGTCTATGATGATTTTTAGTGCTACTATCATCTAGTTCTGATTCTGGTTCTGTCTTGGTTAAATCCTAAGTAGTGCTGATTTTGAACTGTTGCAGTCCTGTTTTAATTCTGGATCAGTTCTGCATCTGGTTGAATTGGGGTTTAGTCCCTGTGTCTTGATACAGCCCCGACTTCGTTCTGCCTCGCTGCTTAATTAAAAAACTAGTTTAAGGTGTCCTGCATGTGTGATATATATTTTTCCCTATATGAAGTCATTCTTTTTTGAACAAAACTCAAAACAGAGCCAATTAATCTTTCAGTCATTTCTAAGCCCCCCCCCCCCCCCCCCCCCCCCCCCAAAAAAAAATCCCACATGCATACTACCCTTTAGGGCTAAGCCCCGGGTGTTTCAAATGTCTGGCTCCGCCTCTGAGCACAACAGGGTTTTTTGGAGTTAGCTATTTTTGTAATTATTGTTATAGTACATATCAGACTCCACTGTGCCACACATGTAGATTCAGATGCAATGTATGCTTTACACTGTGTCAAAACTACCCGTCACAGACTGTGAAATGTGGAGACTGTAAACGTGTCTGTAAGTCGCAGCATTGCTACCATCAACACAAACTAGTAGAACCGGTACATAATCTAATACTGTGTGATCATATGAAATACTGTGAAACATGTGGTACAGTATACAGGAAGTCAGACAAATCAGAACACAAATGTGCCCCAAGTGCACGTACACTCTGTGGAGAACACCTGGTAGACACTGGCATGAATCACGAGTGTTTTCTTCAGCCTGCTGAAATGAAACAACCTCATGAAAAATACATAATATAGGATTTTGAGACCCGGTATCATGACGGAAAGCATGAGGCCGTTTTTGTGTGCACAATGGATATGCATGGGAAAAAATTCTGTTTCAACACATTGAATTGTGTGTCTGCATTCGTTGGGCACTACAGAAGGCCTAAATACTGTGGCTATACATTTATAGCCCATAATTCTTCGGGTTTCGACAGCTATATTCTCCTGGAATACCTCGTTAAACAGGGTATTGCTCCGGGTGTAACAATGAGAGGGAGTCGTGTCGTTCTAATGTATGACAAATCCTATGATCAGAGATGGATGGACTCATTTAGCTTTCTGCCCATGCGTTTGGCCAAAACACCTTCTGCCTTGGGATTCGAGGACCTTGAAAAAGGCTTCTTTCCACACACATTTAACACAAGGGCTGACGAATTCTATGTAGGTCCATTTTTTCATACCTTTTTACAGGTATGAAAAAATGTCTGAATTTGAAAAGGAGAAATTTATGGCGTGGTACAAGCCTGCCTGCGAGAAACCATTTGATTTACAGGCTGAAATACGTAAGTACTGCATTAATGATGTGGAAGTGTTGAGAATGGCTTGTAAAATATACCGCGAGACCTTGATGGAGTGCACGCAGATTGATCCATTTTCACACGCCACCCTGGCATCATACTGCATGGGGATTTTCAAAACCTTGTTTCTTCCAAAAGACACCCTGGCACTGACTCATCACGGTGCGTATGTTGATCAGAATAAGACATTTTCAGACGTGTCTCTTGAATGGCTTCAATACGAAACAAAACATTGTTATCAAGCATGCTCTCAGAGGCGGCGAACAAAAAGTAGGACCTTATTTTGTGGATGGATTTGATGCTTCCAGCAGAAGTGCATATGAATTCATTGGGTGTTTCTATCACGGCTGTCTCCGCTGCTACCCGGAGAGTGATGTTAACCCTGCCGCCAAGCTGTCATATGGCGAGTTGTATCATGCGAGTTGTGAGAAGGTGAATGCTCTAAGAATGCATTATGGTCTTAATGTCGTGGTCATGTGGGGGTGTGATTGGTCATCATTAAAGTCGACTGATCAGTCAGTCAAGGACTTTATGCACAAATACAAAAAGCCTGAGCCTCTGGACCCTAGAGACGCGTTGTTTGGGGGGAGGACTAATGCGATGAAACTGTACCACAAGGTTGATGATGGTGGAGATGAAAAGATCAGATACTATGATTTTACAAGTCTTTACCCCACTGTTCAGTGCACGAAACATTATCCAATAGGTCACCCTCAGATCATATCCAATCATTTTGACAGAGTTGAAAATTATTTTGGGTTTGTTAAGTGCACTGTGCTTCCTCCAAGGGGTCTATTTCATCCTGTTCTGCCCTACAAGTGCCACAATAAGCTGATGTTTCCTCTCTGCAGAACGTGTGCTGAAGAGCAGCGCCAGCACAGTGATTGTGTGCATGCTGAGCGTGAGAGGCAACTGTCAGGTACTTGGGTTTCCTTTGAGCTTGAAAAGGCTATTGACAAAGGGTATCAGATTGTCTGCATCGCTGAAGTTTGTCACTTCCCTAATTAGACAGACACACTGTTTAAGCCGTATGTCAAAACATTTTTGAAATTCAAGCAGCAGGCATCTGGATACCCAAAAAATGTCAAAACAGCTGAGGAGCAGCAGAAGTTTGTTCAAGACTATTATGAGAGAGAAGGCATCAGACTTGACCCTGCTAAGATTTGTGTAAACAAAGCAATCAGAAGTTGTAATAAACTGCTTCTGAACTCTCTCTGGGGGTGATTCTGCATGCGAACAAATATGCCATCTTGCGAGCTGATTACAGACCCTGCCAGATTCACACAGCTGATGTTCAGTGACCATTATGACGGACGCCAGTTTTGTTTCATCTCTGATGATGTTGCAATGGTTCAGTGGTGTCACGCTGATGGTAGAGGGTCGCAGGTGAAGGATGTGAATGTCTTTGTCGGTGCTATGACTACGGCCTATGCGAGGCTCACTCTGTATGACTTGTTAGACAAGCTGCAGGAACGCATTCTTTACTGCGACACAGATTCAGTTATCTTCACCTCTCATCCCGGGCAGTGGGTACCCCCTTTAGGACCATACCTCGGTGAGCTGACTGATGAGCTCAATGATGGCGGGTCTGGAGAGGATGATCACATTACTGAGTTTGTCTCTGGAGGTCCAAAATGCTATGCTTATTACACAAAACAGGGCAAGACTCAGGTTAAGTGTAAAGGTTCAATGATGTTAATTCTAAAGTTGTTACCCACGAATCGTTGAAAGGCTTAGTCAAGGCATTTCTGGCCAACAGGGATGTGCGTTTAGTTGCAGAGTCTGACACCATCAAACGCAACAAGAAGAGGTTTCATCTCAGGAATGAAACAGAGAAACGGAGCTTCTTTACACTTCCTAAACCCCCTGGGTGTGCAGGGTTGTGATATATTTTTCTCAGCGTGTTTTCCATAATCACTTTGACCAAACACAAATACAAATGACCAGAAAAAAGTGTTAGCATACGTTTTTATTTAATTTTCTGTGTAGTGCACAGTAAGGTTTTTATAACAGATGTACATTAAATCTTGTGTCTCCCAGACCAGTAGTTTCCAATCATGTGGAGCAGCGCTGATTTAACACTGCGGGTGTGATGATTGGTATTTAGCAGGTATCCGACATTCTCATCAGTGGTGCAAACAATGTGCGGCACTGATCTCAGTTCACACAGAAGACGCTCTGCAGTGCTGATGATTTGTGCTTCAGCCTCACTGACACTGAGCATACAAACAGACGGATGGCCGGGATGAATCGGGGCGTCCGGAGCTTTTCCATCACTATATTTAATTGAATAAACATACCCACATGGCCCGGAAGTGCCCCTTTTTTGGATGAGTGAACGCGCGTGCATGAGAGTGCATGTGCACGTGGTCGTACGTGCGAAAGGTGCTCCCCACTCACAGAGGTGCCCTATATATTCTTCTGGAGGGTTTTTGCAGCCTTCATCAGAGTTTCAAAAGCCAATAGGTACGGTTTTTAAGTCCTATGCATTTATTGCTATGTCCTATGAGTGTGTGCTGTTATTGTATATTTATTGTGTATCATTTAATTTCCAATTCTTTTTGTATATATTGTGTGTTTTTACTGTTAGTTCGGCTGTTGCCTGTGCAAAGGCCAGACTGTGTGTGACTGCCCAGCAGGTAACGTTGAGGTTTCACCCGGTGCAATTGTGGCTCTTGTAACCATAAATGGTAAGTTGCTCTTTTGTCACACAGTACATACACAATAGATGTGTTTGCAGGTTTTATTGCAAATTGTACATTGCTACATTGTTTTGAATTACCCTCGGCCCGCAGTATATGTGGGCACCTGTCAAAGGTCATTTGGATTTACCAGACCGCTTTGAAAACAACATGAAATAAATGTCTTTGTTGAGCCATGACTGGATTTATCCTAATCCTTCCTAAAGGCTGTTATAACCTTGCACTGCAAGTGTTCAGCTGCACCAGCCGTGGCCTAATGTGGTCCCCCTCAGTTAAGGACTTCCAGGGTGGTGGATATTGGCCTGGCACCTTAAATTTCTGCACCCTGTTTTCAATGGATGTCTTTCAGTCTTTCTATGACATTAAGAAGCTGCACCAGGGATGTCACTTAAGGCGTTTGTCAAAGTGCTGGATGAAAGAACAGCCCATTTTGGAAGGGTGAGTTTCTAAATATGTCAAGTTTCAGGAAATTGTGCAAATCAATGTTTATGATGACTGTCCTTGAATATTCTGTTGTTTGTCCTCTACTTAAAAGACTGGCCGAATATCAGCTGATGTCTTCAGCAAAAGTTTCTTGGAGTGGAGTGCTGTAAAGTGTGAGGTGGACAGGATGTGCAAGGAGCCATGCTTTAGCTGCCCTGCCTGCACTCCAGACATGCTCGCCGTGTCAGTTGATGGAAACCGCAAGCTTTATCGCTTTCAATCAAATGCAAGGTACGTTATGCATTGTGTACATAAATCAAATATGGATTTGTACAAAAATTGTATTTTGATGTTTCTTTTCAAACAACTGTCACTGTGTTCGTTCAGCACTTCAGAGCAGGGGAACTTTGAAGGTGTCTTCATTGAGAAAGATGAGGAAGTTGCTGAGTTTGTGAAATACATCCAGAGACACACAAATGATGTAAGATACACATATATATCAGTGCTGTCAGCGTTAATCTTGTTAAAATGACGTTAACGCCATAACCATATACACATATGTGTGTGTGGATACATATTTGGATGGGTTTTTATGAGGTGTTGTGTGAACGTGACTTAAGGCTAATTCAGCTAATTCTTTTTCATTTGTGTTAAAAAGTTTGTCCCTGATAGGGCGTAATCACGTCGTGTCTTTCAGTGTGTAGGTCCCAGGGAAAGGGTTGTGTGGATCTTCATCTTGGACTGCAGCAAAGGAGTCGAGCAAAAAGTCCACTGGGAAGTTGGATGAAGAGGGCATGGAAAGAGCTGTTTGTTTGCTGTTAGTCCTCCTAGCTGCTTTGGACATGTTTCGAGGGGAGATCTTTGCTTACCCCCTTTTTCTCCAGAGGAAGTCTGCAGCTAGCGTCCCAGGACATATTATGTTCCTTTGCTCCAATGTGGCCTGTAAATATTTCCCATATTTAACCAACATGGCTCAGCAGCGCCCTGAGCTGAGGAACCTCTTGTCAATGCGTCCTTTTCTCTCCGTCATGCATGCAAAGGCTCACACTTGGAAATGCGAGGTATACTGCAGCTTGTAGTCTTGGATACGTTTAAGACATTTTGTTATAAGGTTGAATGAATTCAGCAGTCATGTATTGTGACCTCCTTTCTATAGATCAAATGGGGAGGTGCGTTTCAGGATGGGGCCGGTTCTACAGTTGGAGAAGAGGTGGAACAAGTAAACAGTTTCCTGTCTAGGGCGGCCATCACAACGAAGTACATGTCTAAAGCAGGTGTGTGTCTGTGTGTGAGATTCCACTCAGTCTCCTGCTCATTCATTCTTATTTGTATACTAACTGAAATGCAGGGCGAACAGACATGCTGAGCCTCCTGGCTTTGGGCTGGAACAAAAGGAAAGTGGAACAACTGGGCCGCACTTTGAGCCAGAGATATCTAAAGGTCATTTTTTCAACACCCATTTTAATGTGTGTGGTAATGGGGGAAAACACCAGTACTCTAAAAATGTCCATATGAATGACATTTATTAATGTATTCTTATATCATAAGGATCCTTAGAGAACAAGTGGAGAGCCTGAATGCGAGCAGAAATGAGCTGGGTGTGGATGACGACACACTGCAGCAATGGGCTGAAGGTGAGTCTCAATATAATGCACTCGTGTATAACAACAGGACCCACCATGGCCTCATTAATGAAGATTTCAAAGGCCTTAGTGCAGGGGTAGGGAACGTCTAAAACCTGCAGGGACACCGGCCCTCGAGGCCTGGAGTTCCCTACCGCTGCCTTAGTGTGAAAGGAATGAAGCTGTAGAGGTACACAAGAGGTTTTTGCAACCTGCTGTTTAATGAAGGTAATCAGCTGGGACAAAGGTACATTATGAGAATAATATCTCTGACAAACCTCTACCTCAATTAAAAGATGCATTTTGATTTACATGAATGCATTTCATCTTCTCTGCAAAGGCTACACAACCTTCTTTGCCATTTGAGTGTGTCCAGTCCAGCTGAAACCAGCTCATTACTGATGGCATGAAAACGATCTGTGAGGTAACATTTTTACTGTCATTCATTCCTGTTGAAAACTTGTCACGTGTTTGCTTAGGTTCTTCTCAGTAATCTTCCCGTATCCTTTGTAATAACTACCCGAGCTTAAAGTATACAGACTGCCGGGAGGGGCGAGATGGGAATTTTCATTGCATATATATATATATATATTAAAATACAGATAGCAGCAGCCACGAAAACATAGGCAAGAGAGAGCATAGCAGTGTCGTAGATGTAGCCAAATAAGACAGATAAATTAAGATGGAAAATCCCCAAAACAAAACCCAATCTTTAGTGTGGGAGCATTTCCATGTCATTCCCAAAGGTGTAATTATTTTCAGCGACTGCAAACTGAACACAAACTTTTCATAACTGAGTTTGTTTCTTCAGTTGTATTTTGGTAATGCTGTTGTACAGCAGGGAAGCAAACACAAGTGCTAACGCTAACAACATCCAATCAGGATTTATTGGTTAGATCAAAGCTAACATCTGCATTACATGTGAGCACTACACATGTTATTTAACATATATAACGTATAAGAGTTTTACATCTTTCTCTTTCCCTCGAGAAGAACTGCTAAACCTGTAGAAATAACATTACAGAAAAGCAGGACATGCTCAAGCAAAACATTATAGAAAGTCTGTCACGGTTCTGGGTCAGTTTGACCCAGTATTTTGAGTTGTCATGTTTTTGCAGGTTTAGTTTAGTTCCATGTGTCATTTTCTGTCTCTCTCTCTATGTCGAGTCTGCGTCTTAGTGTGATGGTTTCTTGTTCCTGTTTTATTGTGAAGGTCTGCGTCTCATGTGAGTGTGTTCAGTTTGACCTCTGTCTCGTCTTGGTGATTATTCCCAGCTGTGTCCACCACCTGTGTGTAATTCCCCTGTGTTTCTCTGTGTATTTAAGTCGTGTCCTCTGTCATTGTAGTTGCTGGTCCGTCTGTGTATTCACCATGTCTCACCCGTGTGTTCTCCCTGCTGTCCATCTCCTCTGCTTGTTCTTGTCCAGGTTTGTGCTCTGTAGTTTAGTTGTTTCCAGTCTAGTTTAGTTCGTGCTCCATTTGCTGTTTGTCCATATTTATTTTTGTGTTCAATAAACCAGAGGTGTGGACTCGAGTCACATGACTTGGACTCGAGTCAGACTCGAGTCATTAATTTTATGACTTTAGACTTGACTTGAAAAAATGTTCTAAGACTTGTGACTTGACTTGGACTTTTACACCAATGACCTGGGACTTGAATTGGACTTGAACCGGTTTACTTGAAAAGACTTGATATTTCACCCCAAATATAAAATTTAACATGCATATTATATAGAGATTGAAAATGTGACGTCATTCACGGGTAGAACCGCAAAGGATTCTGGGAACTCGTGGCAAGAGGTACTAGCGCGCGCAGGCTTTCAATTGAAATCAGTTATACAGCGATAAAAAGAAACACAAAAATGTCAAGAAGCTGTTGTATTATTAACTGCAATAGCCGGTCGCATGACAGCCACGGGAAGCCGACGGGTAAAGAGATCGGTTGTTATCGGATTACGTCGTTGAAGAGAAATTGTTCGAGCCATGTTTCCGAAGTAACAAAGAGGCGACGGATGGCCTGGATTGCAGCCATTCAAAGACCAAATATAACGTCCCAGAACACTCCAGCTCACAGGTTAGTCTGCTCCAAACATTTACACAAAGGTCAGTCTGCTGTTGTAGTTAACACGTCATTTTCAATAATTGGTGATATAGGTTACAAGCAAGTCTGGTGCTGAACAGAAATTGTCGCGCTATGCTCCTTTATTTATTGTGCATAAATAGTGAATTGTCCTGACACAATATTGCGTTTCGCTTCTGTTATTATGGTACATTGACAAAAACATATACTTTTATTCACAGGATAAAACAGTTTTTTTGTATCACTAATTGTCCAGTACAATTACAGCATACAGTATTATTGTCACTGCTACATTTCTGTAATGAACCAGAAATTATTTCCACTACTAATTAATTACCGTTGAGCTCAAAGGTTATATTAATAAACGGTTAACGAATGTGTATTTATGACGACGATTTGTGAGACTGGTAAACTTACCTTTGTTCGTACGATGGTCTTTACTTTCTACACGGTGCATTTCAAGGTCCTGCACCCATCCGGCGGTAAACTGTACCTGGGCTTGTTGCAGTGACCTGAAGTTACTAAACTTCATGAGTGTGTGCACTCACTCCAAGAACCGTATGATTATAAATATGCATATAAATATGCTACGATGAGATAGCTGACTTCATCTAACTAGCAAATGTTGGCCAGGCTACGTTGGTGATGCAGTTTTTTTAAATATGTATGATATTTTTGTCATGCGATTTTAAAGCCGGTCCTAAAACCGCATCCAAGAATAACATGCAGCTTATCTCAGAAATGTCGGTGAAAATTATTCTTGGAGCTAGGTTTAATTGAGCTGCATTTTAAAGAGGTACAATTTCACAATTTGTGTGTATTTTCTAAGTTCACTATTTTGTCATGTGTTGAGAAAAACACAGATTAAAAAATTACATGGTCTAATATTTACATTTAGCATATAACTGCAACATTATTTTTTCGTTTTGTTTTTTTTAAAGACTCGAAAGGACTTGAAATTCAAAATTTCAGACTTGTGACTTTACTCGGACTTTTACACCAGTGACTTGAGACTCGACTCTGACTTGCCTGACATTACTTGAGACTTGACTTGAGACTTGAGGATAAAGACTTGAGACTTACTCGAGACTTGCAAAACAATGACTTGGTCCCACCTCTGCAATAAACCACCTTCACTTCTCCACTACTGCCTGCGATTGGATCCTCATTTATTATTTTCACACGGCTCTCCTCACCCGCCGTGACAGTACGGACCAGCCAGATATGGATCCAGCGGCAGTCACCCCACCTAGGGAGCTTCAGGAGGCCGTTATCAACTCTGCTTCTAAATTGATTTACCAGCTGTTAGAGCATGAGGGAGAAGCGTCTCTTTACACTGTGGAAGCCAACCTACAACACCTTATTTCCAGTTACCCCTGGTTATTGGACTCACTGCATCCGCTCGTACAGAATTTTGTTCTTCACGAGCTTCACCTACACCCCCCCCGCTACCGCTCGCCTGCTCATGCAGTGATATCATCAGTGACAAGTCAGGTGATAGAGGCTAATGCAAAATGGTGTTTCAGTGAGGCAGAATTTATTATGACAATACATTTTTTTTTAAATATTCAGTATGAATTAAACAGGTTAAAGGTCAATGCTCTGTTGTAATATAAAGACAAAATGATTGACAGCAGCCCAGCAATATCAGTAAAACGCAAATTAGCCACATGGTGCAATGTAAGGAGCTCTGTGATTGGTTAGGAAAGGACAGACTGGCCACCTCGATTTTTCTTCACTGCACATTGATCCATAGCTTTGCTCTGTAAAGGCTAACAAAGTGCTTTTGCTTTACAAAGACATTCAGCGTCGGTATTCACTCTTTTAAAATGCCACTGAACACTGGAGTGAAATGGAGCCCTGATCCTCAGAGTTTTATTGTTGCTAACATTTCTTATAGATAGCACAGATAGTGCCCCACTGCAGTAATCACTCATGTCTAGCTATTCCTGTTAAAAGGGAGTTTTTCCTCCCCACTGTAACATGGCAAACATAGCAAACGGATAATCCAGCTGAAGCTTCAGACAGCCGTCAGACAGTGAAACACTGCCATCTGCTGGACGCGAATAACAAAGACGCTGCTTTGACGGGTGAGGGAGTTTCAACAAGTCTGCAACGACTCAAGCATCAAACTACAGAACTATTATAGCGGACATGGTGCTCTAATGACTGCTTCATTAACGCAGGTCAGAAAGGATAATAGAAACTCAATAAATTATGAAATACAAAACTTACTGGTTCGCTGCACACACAAAACGTCTCTTATTAGCACAACACTGCTCAGGGCTCAGAGGATATTCCTTATAACCTATTAAACCTCAGCATGTTATTTTGAAGTGTTACAGGTGAAACAGCCAACCAGTGAAGTTAACTGTAATTTCAACATTGAGCTACAAAAATGCTTTTTTTAAAAAAAAAATTTTATTTCTTTTTACAGTTTTGCAATTTTACACAAGTTTTATCATCAGTGTCACAATGACTGCTGCTAAAATTGAGTATGAGCTTTTTGTTGGTCTGATTAAAAGGTTAAATGTAAAAGCATAATTTAAACATGTGATGTGAGGTCATTAATTACAGTGCAGGTGCCCTGCTTTAGGATCATAAATTAATAATTCCAAAAGAGTAAAGTTGTAGAGAATCTATGTTCATTATCGTTGTTAATCATGGAAAGACAAAGACATCAGACTCTGCTGAAAAATATTACACCCTCCTACTCTCTGCACACAGCGGTCTGAGGGACCTTCCAGGATCGGGGATTTTATTCATTTTGTTCTTTTTTTGGTCTTACTGGTTAGTAGGTGGTGATTTTGTACCTGGTGATCTCACATTTGGAACATAAGTTGCTTTGGAGCAGATTAGGTTCAAAGGATAACTTGGCTCTTGAAGTTAGCCGGATAAGACAGCGTTCTGCTTCACAGCTGAGGCCTCAGAGAGTTGTTGCCAACCAAAGTCTATCTTGTACGGCCATGCAGCATCTAATGACATTTTGTAACCTGAGCAGTGAAATGATTGCTGTTTTAGTGCACATACAC